GATCAATCGAATTTCGTTTATCCTCTTCTAACTAATACGAATCGATCTTTGGTTCTTTAATAACAGTTGTAATATGCGCCAACGTCAATCACACGATTAATTTTATATTTTAAAAAATCGTATACATTCTCCCCCAACGTTTCTATCTACAAGTTAACACGTTTTAACGGCACAATATTATATTTTAAGCTTCGAATATCCGTTTTTCATACTCTTTGACACAAATCATAGCGTTTCGACGATATTGGATAAGAGATACTTGATTTTTTTCTTCAAGTTTTCCCGTCAGTCTTTGTGGCATCGCTTTTAAACAAAGATTTTTTTCTTTTTTTCTTTTTTCTATTAATTAAATATTTTCCATTGAAACGATTCGATTGTAAATATTGCATGAAGAAAAGAAATTGTTTTCTTCCTTTTTTTAATGGATGCGATGAAAGAGTGATAATAAATATATTTCGAGAAAAATACAATAAAAATATTATCTGAGAAATCTGTATAAATTATCTGGAGATCGATATTTATTAAAAATTGTTACGAATTTTCAAATTTGAAAATGTTTGAAGTCAATTATAATAGATTATATATTTTCCAGTCGATTTTTAATTAAAGAATTTTTTATGATAACAGAATTCCAAGCTTTTTATTCAAAGCTAAAATTTCTATTCACTTTTTCTTCTTTTGATTCCATGCAGTGATTTCAAACTTTTTTTAACATTTGGAAACATCTAAATTTTTCTATTCAACTTCGGAAACTTTGTCCTTTCGAAATTAAAGATTTTGTTATTTGGACCACTTTCCCTCCGAATCTTTTTAATCCTACAATTATCCTTCGAGTTAAGGATAGTAATGTTATTACGAGTTCCGATTTGTGATACGCGAACTGAAATAAAGTAACTGCCAAAAGTTTAGTAACTCTCCACCTCCAGTTGAATATTCCTACATTTTATTACGATATAAGAATTTTTAAAAATAAAAATCTTTTTCATCGTATCATTTTCGATAAAAATATTTACTAAAACAAGAAGAAAAATCATTTTGAATTTCATTCATTCTAACTTTCCAGTTTACTTTAACTTTTGACAGACACTATACCTTATTTTAATTCTTTATAAATTTTCATAATCTTTGCTTTAATTTGATTGACCAATTTCCAAATAAAAAAAAAAAAAAAGAAAAGAAAAATCCAGAATTAGAAAAAGGAAATTTATGAAACATCTTGTGCTTCAAAAAATTCACCCACAAAACAATCGAAGCACCTTAACAGGCTGGAAATCTGTAAATTTTTTAAAATCCTTTTCGCCACACACTCCTTCATTTTCCTTTTACGAATCTATCTAGCGGAGAATCTAGTCTTTCGATTCATTTCCTTTCCTTGAATCGACATCTCACATTTGTTTTAATGCCTATACTGTTGCTCGAGCTCCCTTCTCAGCCTTTTCGCGGCGGTTTCGCTGTTTCCCTCGGCCTCCGCGTCGCTGCAACCATCCTCACCCTCCGCGACGACGCCTTCGACCTCTTCTTGCCGCCTCTTCGCCGTCGCCATCTCGGCCGCGTGCTTTTTCCGCCATTTTGTCCGCCTGTTCTGGAACCATACCTGCAATCACAAACGGATCGTCTCGTTGGAAACTTGTGCCTTTGTTTTGAAATAAATCCTTCTTTCTTACTTCCAAAATTGAAATTTTCAAAAGAATAAAATACGAAGTGTTTTAGCGAATCTTTTATGCATCTTGTAACAATTATAGAAATTAAAAAATCGGAAAAGTTTCGAATTGAACGAAAGCTTGTAATCTCATCAATTCGTTTAGATTATTCCCAGAGAGAAAGAGAGGAGACCTTCAACAAAAGAAAGAAAGAAAAAAACCCTCCTTTATTAATTTCTAACATCTCCAACGTTTCTTTAAGCACCGGCATAAATTTTCCAACATTAATCAACGTCATCCGTTCGCATTAACACAAAATCGCCAGATGGCGTTTCCATCCATGGCCGATCACACTTATCACCAATCCTCAATTCACGAATCCTCGTGAAACAATCCTCCAAACAATCCACTTTGTGAGTGACCCACACCTGGAGGAAAAGGAAAAAAAAAAAAAAATCGAAGG